AAACAAAAACACACACACACAAAAAAAAAAAAACAAACACACTGACTGATGTGTTTCGGCAAAGAGATAAGTGGTCGAGCCAGCAAAGTGGTGTTGGCGCGGGGTGTTGTTGAATGAAGAAAAAAATGTTGATGATGATGATGCTGACGAAGATGGGATGAGAATTTTGGCGCCAAGTATGCCAGACCAAAGGAATGGCATACGAAAACAGGATGAGATGATCCGCGAGGGTCCGGGTCCTGCCCTCGCTGTGTGAGACGACCGAATCACACAGCCCGAAATGAGATGAAGGTGAAAATGATGATGAGCGTCCCGCTCCCCTGCACCCCCTTAGACCCTTGCAAGATGTAAGCGACTACAAGACAGTTTCAAACACAACTGTCCAATCATCATTCAAAATGTGAAGCGATGCAAAAGGAGTGACCCTCTGTTCCCATGTGCTAGGGAAGTTCACACACACACACATGCACCGCCCGTACGGGCACGCCCCCATCTCGCCTCAATTGATAGCCCTTGTTGGGCCAAGTCGCTTTCCCACACAAATGTCTGGATTCTCGTTGTTTGCACTCGGGTCGCCACTGTTTGCAAATCCATTCTCATGCTGATCATCAAACACCAATCGTTGTCCCTCTCCATCAGCAAACACGTTTCGCTCGCTTGGGCCACTGCGTTTGCGATATATTGCGATGAAACCGCCGACAAGGCAACATTGGATCATTGATTGAGCAACCAACTTCAAGATTTTGACAGGAGGGCTACTATTGCCTTTAAATGCTAAAATCCAAAACATTATTGGTTCCTCAATTTTCAGTGTTCTTACGCTCGACCCACAAGAAGCTAGGCAAAACTACTGAAGAAACACTGCTAAACGTGTTAGCTAAGGACTCATGCTCGCCTCACTCTTTTCCCTTCTGCCGAGCGAAAGTGAAGTACACATGCCGCCCATGTTGGGCAGCTACTGCATTGCGCAGCCGAGGGTCGTGGGCGGGAGAGGTGGGTTTCTTGAGCGATGACGGCATTCACATTCGTCCTTACTGCTTCAAGGACTCATGCTCGCCTCACTCTTTTCCCTTCTGCCGAGCGAAAGGGAAGTTCACATGCCGCCCATGTTGGGCAGCTACTGCATTGCGCAGCCTGCCACCCGCAGTCCTCCCATCCGTCATCGTGAACGAATCCGCGGCCAGCAACTTGTACCAGACTGTCGGCAAAATGCCGACAGAGGCGAAGAAAACCACGCGGTCAAGTATCACTGGAAACGTTTCGAGAGCCAGAAACACCTTCTCTCGCGCGGGAGCCGGGAGAGTCGGAAGAAACTGTAAAGAGGTCACCTCCTGAATGTAGATTTCCATTATCCGATGGGATAACCATCTTCCACGGCGCCTGACAAATTCAGAATCTTCGACTGTATTCATCAACCAGGTAGCGCCTCCGGCTCTCAGAGAAGAGAGCTCGAGGCCGTTCTTTCCAGGCGATCTCCCGATCGGCAGCTGTAATGCGGAGCACAGCTGCTGAAAGCGCGAGCGTAAGGTCTGACCCGAAAAGGGCCAGAGCTTACACCCTGAAGGAACCTTCTGGTAGACGAGCTCAAGGACCGCGAGCAGGTTCGGCTGGTCGACCCTTACAGCCTGGTGCCTTGCAGCTGAGAACCTCGTCTTCGGGTTCCGTATAGAGAAAAAAGAGCATAATCTGAGGTCCCCTGGACGTCTGAGGGCAGCAGGAGGTCGGATCGGAGAGCACCCGGGACCTCACCAATCCGAAGGAGGCCCCCCCAAGCGAGGGCCAGAGCTCCAGCAACTTTTACCCATCCCCATAGCAGTGCGGTGGCGACCAAGGAGACCAGCACCTGCCACGGCATAGCAGCGTGGTGAAGGGAGGGCTCCTCTCTCCTCCAAGCGAAGGCGACGTCCCAGGCCGGCTGAAGAAGCCTCCTGAGCTTCGGCACCCGGCTGCTAAAAGCGTTCAGGGTCTCTGAGTAGTGTGCGTAGGGACGGCCAGCCCTATAGAGCTCGCGACCATACCTCCCGAGTATGGCATTAATGCCGTCGATGTCCTGCTGGCCCTCAACTGTCTCGAAAAGTCCGCGCTCGATTCCAGCTGTGGCAAGCCACTCGCAGAAAGAGGCCCAGAGAGCCTCGCGGTTTTTCTGTGTAACAGTCTCGACAGGACGTCCTGCAGGAAGGTCACCGGTTCCGCGTCGCTCCTGTCTCTGGCGGTCTCTGGCAGAACGCGGCAGTAGGAGGCCATGGCTCGCAGCTAAAGGAACCGGACCCTGAACTCCCTGAAGACACAAGAGAACGAAGAACCTAAGGGGGAAGGCGCACTTGCTCTGGTACAGAGGCCCTTCACCAGGAAAGCCAAGCGAGGAATCGAAGTCCACCAAGGGAGGCCTGAAAGGACGAGGGAAGCCGTTTCTATCGGCCTGGGGCCCTTCACCAGGAAAGCCAAGTGAGGAATCGAAGTCCACAAGGGGAGGCGAGGAAGGCCGAGGGGGCCACACAAAGTCCAGGTAGGAAGGGACCAAGCCAAAAGAGCAGAAGCTTAGAGGGCAGGGAACAAAGGCCCGGAAGGAGCGGCCCTGGTACCGGTAAGCCTCGCCAGCGCCCAAGGGCCTGTAGCCGGTAAGTCCAAAGAACAGCCGGAGCCAGTTCGAGGCCCAACGCCTAGACGGGACGATCCGGGTGAGCGGAAGCAGCGCGCCATAACCCACAAGGTGGCCCAGTCGGCCAGGCAAGGGGTCTGGGATCTCAGCACCTCGGGACGGGTGGTCGGCAGGCATAATGCGCGTAGGGCAGTAGGGCGCGCTTGGGTACAGTCCAAAGGCAAGACCGACTGCAAAGATCCTGCGGAGGACCTTTCGGAGGCCAGCGGAGGGGCTGCGACCCTTTCGCAAGGCATGGCAGGTCACAGCGCTGTCGCACAGGGTCACAAACCGCAACGGACCTGAGCAACGGGCAGCCGGTAGACGCAGGAACACTCAAGAATGTTGATGTGCACCGAGCCCGGCCAGTTCCAAACGCGCAGGGTTGTCCACTTTGAAGACAGCGCGAGGTCGTTGACGAGGGGAGTCTCGAGACCCTCTGTGTCGAGACGGCAGCTGGCAAGAGCCTGGGAGCGAAGACAGAGGGAGAAGTCGAAAGCAGCAGCGGCTTCGAGCCAAACCGCCTCGCCGAGGCCTGGTTCAGGAGGCTGCACAAGAAGGTCGCGGCGCCAGCTCTGTGACAGGAGCTCAAAAGGAGGGAATCCGACCGACAGGAACAGCGTACCTCCCCCAGGGCTGCCAAGCGAGAGCTGGTCGACCTGAACCTCCCTTTTCTTGCAAAGGTCCTGCCAGGCCTTGAGTCGTGGTGCGAGCGAGTCCCTTGAGTGCAAAAGGGCTGCAGGAACACCGTGCCGGAGGCAGACGTGAAGGAGGGCCAGTAGAGGGTCTTCGGCCAGCAGGTGTGCCACACGAACGGCTGCCAGGGCCATGGGTTGAGAAGGTCGCTAGGGGCAGGCATATGCAGAGGGAGTCCAGGCAGCCCGCCTCGACAAGAAAGGCAGCCCACTCGAACACACGCACAGAGCTAGGATCATATTCCACAGAGGTCCTGGGGTCGATGCAGGGCCCTGTGGTCCAGCCGAGAGCTTCAAGGTAGTGGCCTATACGCTTAGAGGCGCCCCAGAGCTGGAGGTAGTGGAAGCGGCAGGCTGGGGGGCGCTTCGGCGACGAGCCCTCTAGGGGGGGAGGGAGCCGGGGCTCATAGTCAGGATCTATCCGGCGAAGCGCGGCTTCCTCGCGCGACAAGAGCCGAGCAGGGCCAGCGGCCTTTGAGGTAGAGCTCCAAAGAAGCGAAGTGGTCTCTTTGCTGATGGGGCTCTGCACGATTGCCCCTCAGGACTCGGAAGAGTCGGTGGCGAAAAGCTTTTCGGCCCACGGGCTGAAACGTCACTGGCGAGGAGGTGCGACAGCGTGGCGGCAACGATGAGCTCGTCTGCAACAGACCTGGGCAAGTCCACGACCCAAAACAGCTTGAGTCAACCTCGGTGGCGTTCACAAAAGAGAAAACCTTGTCGAAGCAAGCCATGAGGGCCTTCCGATAGCAGAACCCGGAGACCCAGCCACCGACCAGACAAAGGTGTAGCACATCACTCGTCTTTCTCAGCCGGCAGCTCTCGAGGCTGATGGCCGCTAGGCCGAGCCGTTTTGCCCTGGCGGGACCGACGGTGGCGATCCCTTGAGAGCGGGTGGAGGCGGAGGTGTCGAGCTCAGCGCCCCCTACGGTGGCACAGCAACTGCCGTCTATGTCCTTCTCCACCGACCCAAGCAGGCCTTCCCTAGCATATATAGAGCGGGCGTGGGCAAGCGCACGGGAGGCTAGGGAGCCCTTGGCTCCATACTCGGGGCAATCGCAAAAAAGTCGTCTATTATGAGCCCCTGCACCAGATCCTCGGGGGCTCCATGTGGAAAAGTATGGCCCCCCGCACAGTCTGGAGGTCGGGTCTAGGAGGCCCCCCGAGCTAAGCAAACGAGCATGGGAGGAAGTTGCAACTTCCACTCCCAGCGCATCCCCCTGAAGCACAGCACTAAAACAGGCAAAGAGCTTCTTGCTCGGCTCGCCTCGCCTGAGGCCGGAGGGCACATCATCAAGAAGGGGCTGGGCTTGAAAAGCCTGAAGATCAGCAACCCGAGCAGCCTCAATCGGAGGCACCAACACGTTTCTCAGCGCACGCCGAGGAGGCACCGCCAATTGGTGGTAGAAGTCGGATCTGTCACCGATATCGAAAACTCCTGCCTGGAGGGGTCGATATAGAGGCTCGTGAGCTGGGGGCCGCACGGGAGGGCAGACGACGGGCCGGCGAGGGTCCCTCGCAGAGGTTTCTGCCCCTTTTATCCCCTATTTGTCTATCTACCTCTACGGTTTTCAAGGTGTTAAAGACGCGGACTCCTTGGAACCTAGGAGAGGGCCCAGAGCACGCCAGGCGGAGCAGGCCAAAGCTATCCCAGCGGCGGGCGAGGTCATAAACCTTTACAGCAGATTCCCTAGAGAGGTCCGGGACCTCAGCAGGGCCAGGGGAAGGGCACGGCCGAAGCAGCAGGAGGTCGGGCTCCCGGAACGGCAAGTAGAAGAGGTCATCGAGGTAATCCGATGGATCCCAGTTCGCCCTGCCCGACAACTTAAGCCTGCCCGGGTCTAGGCTGCGGTAGGGGTGCAGGGCATCAAAGGAAGCAGGGCCGTCAAGCTTCAGCCCAGGGAAGCTGGGCCCGTACTTGTCCGAGGAGAACCCGAGGGCGGTGAGGCTGTCAGAAACCTCGCCAAGCCTTGCAAGTAATTCACACTTATGCTCGAACATCCGGCACAAGTCTTGATCAGCCTGCCGATATAATCCAGAGCCTTGGCCTGATGCTTATTCGGAGGCCTCCGCATGGCTGAGAGGGGCACCCTACGGGAGCCGGCGTGCAGGTAGTTGAGAGCGGCAACAGTCACAAAGGTAAGCCGCTGAGCTCCAAGACGGGAGCGGGCTGCAGCACTCAGTCGCGGGTCGCTTCATAGAATGGGATGGGCAAGGGGAACAAAGACTTGGAGGGCGAGGCGGTGCTCGCCGGTGGCAAGTGCAGAAGAGAGGCCAAGAAAGCCGCAAAGGGGGTGCGAGTTCGGACCACCCGAAATGCAAAAGAAAGAGACCACCGCCTAAACGACAAGGCATGCTTTGCAGTTTGGCCGCGCTTCTTAGGCACAGGAGGCGGCGAGGCGGGGTCACAAGCCCGAGGGCTGGCTCGTCGAGGCGAAGCTGGGCGAGCTGAGGAATTATAAAATGGCGCCAGAAGGTCATGCAAGCAAAGAACCTGAGGCTTGCCAGGGCACCCGGGCTCACAAAGGGAACCAGGGCCTAATGTACAGCCGCCCTCGTGGGGAGCGGTCGGCACTAGAAGCTCGGCAAGGCAAAGCTGAACCGGCTCAGGTTGAGGAGGATTAGGGCCAGCGACCCGCTGAAAAGCAGGGGGGGCCTGGGAATTAAAACATGGCGCCAGAAGGTCGTGCAGGCAAAGGACCTGAGGCAAGCCGGAGGGCCGAAACCACCTAGGGGGGAAGGTACCTCAGGAAGGCCTAAGGAAGCAAGGCGGTGGTTGCCCACGGGGCCGGGCACAAAGGAGCCCAGGCCCTCAGCCTGGGGTTCTGCGGGCTGCCCTTCGAAGAAAAGACCTGGTGGGCCCTTTCCGGCAAGAGAGAGAGGGCGCACCCCACTTCCCACTTTCCACCGTCCTGGCAGACCTGCTCCAGGCAGGTCATCATCAGGGCCAGCAGATCCAGGGCGTCTGTCTCCCCAAACAAAAGGACGTCGGCGATCTGGGTGGTCATGTGCATAGTGAGGCCGAGCTCCCTCTCGGCCCCATACCCTCCATACCTCTCCAGATATTGGCCTAGGTGAACCTGCGAGGCTCGGCACGAAACTCGTCCAGAGTCCTGGGAACATTCTCCGAAGGATACATCCGGCGCGGCGGAAGCCCCGCTGGGCAACAGCCAGCATGAAAGAGCCGTTCCTTTCGGCCAGCTCGGCGAGGAGGCGCTCTCTTTTCGCACTGCCCTTTGACGAGAGGCCCGGGGCCCCCTGGCTGCCCCCGAAGTCGGCTCCCCCGTCGGAGCTCTGGATCAGGTGCGCCACCAGCTGAATCAGGGCCTGAGTTTGCTGTGTCAGGGCCGCAGTTGCCAGGCCTTCGCCGAGCCCTCCTGCAGTAGGGTCCCCGAGCTCCAGCGCGTCTTGCAAAGGGCCGTCCTCGGCGAGGACAGGCGCAGTCGCCTTGGGAGGCCGAGTCACGGGCGGAGGGCCCACCTGAGAAGCCAGAGCACCTGCACCTGATGCACCTATGCCTGCCTTTGCAGTGGGAAACACGAAGAGCTTCCGATGCGGAGCCAGAGCGGGCTCGGCCGGCCGGCTCTCTACCTTTGCCTCTAGGGCCCGCTGCTTCTCGGAGATGTCCTTCAGCTGGCTGGTGATGGTGGGCAAGAGCTGGCTGATCGATCCCAACTGGTCGGCCAGCTGTGCCGTGGTTACCCGCTTCGGGTGGGGCTTGGCTGCGGGCACCTCGGGAGGGGGCTCCTCCAGAAGCTCTTCCTCCTCTTCGGGGCCGTGTAAAAACCGCACTTGTTCTAATCTTGCTTGCTCACGTCGTCTCGGTACACGGGCGGTGAGAGCAGGGCGTTCTCCGGAATCAGGCTGCGTACGTACTCGCTTCCATTCGCTTCCTGTTCCCATGTCGACTTTGCCTCCTTCGAGGGACTTGGCGTCGAAGGCTTAGCGGAAGGGGTAGATATTGCCCCCGAAACATAGAATGTACTGGTCATCTTGTTCCGAGGTCTTCTCCATTTGCATCATGACATGTCGTCTTCCGCGAGGTGGTAGAGCACTGAAAGGTTTATGTTCGTCGGCGCGGAGCTGCTGGTAGATCCAGCCTTCCGGCTTCTTTCCGAAGGGGTCAGTTGGGGTGGCGGGTCGCCAAGACACAAGTCGGCATGGCTGCGATATGCTGCGATCTCTCCGTTTTCGCACCGACCGAAATTGGAGCAAATACTTGAAGATGTCCAAGCCCTCTTGGGGAGATTCTCCCGTGCAGTAAACGGCCGCCAAGCACGTTTCCAAGCCGACGGCATCGGGGTCCGCGGGGCCGCCTTGTGGTGGGGCTCCGTTCAGCAGCTTGATGCCTTTCTGCTCTTCCAGGGTCAATCCTCGAGAGTCTTTTCGCTCTTGTACCGCAAGTGAATGGGAAACAATGCTCCTGACCACACAGTGCTTGAATTCAGGGCAAAGGTCTGCAAATTAATCGCTTGACAGGGCACCCGAGTTAGACGGATAGATGTGCCCAAACACACCGGGCAGCGCACCGCGGGGGCATGCACGTTTTCGCCTTTGCCTCCTTCTCCTTACTGTCTTCGCAGTTGGCCTCAGCTTAGCGTGAGGCCGATACACCGTAGGCCGGTTTGATGCGGCGGTTTGCGGGTACTGGGCACTGGGGTAGAGGGGTGTTGGTGAGCAAGCCGGTGAGTGCGATCAGTTTCGACCAACTATGTCATGCCGACCTCCAAGGGGTTGGCCAGTCCCTTTTTGAAAGTGGCCGCTACCACTGAAGCAGTAAGGACGAATGTGAATGCCGTCATGGCTCAAGAAACGATGTCCTGGGTCCCCCAGGTTTTGGACTTGGTTTTGAAGGGCTCTTTAAGTGGTTGGTGGGGGCTTGGTTGTCCGGCGCACTGTTCGTCATCGGCCCTTTCGTCGCTCGCCATCTTCTTATCGGGCTTTGGATTTGGGGCCCTTTCTACTCTCTTCTTCTTTAGAGAGGCTCTCTTCCGGACTTTTCCTCTGGCCTCGCAGGTTCCTCCGGCCTTCCGGCCCCCTACCACCTCTCGCCTGGCTGGGTACCTGCATGAGTGATAGCAAGGCTGAGGTGGATTTGGACTCACACGTGCGGCCCCGTACCCCGACCGAACAGACTGTGGCCGAAGCAGAGACTGGCGATGGCACGCAAGCAAGAGAGCACCCGCGACATGAGAAAAACATGCAGCATGTCAGCCATCTAGCCACTTCAGAAACACGAAGCCAATCGTTGCAATGTCCCGTACGCCGATCCGTACGAGCCGAGCCGCAGAACATTCAATCGCAAGCCCCACACTGTGGCCTCAGTAGCAGCGCAGTCAGCCGCGCCGTGGCTACACAGAGCTGCTTCCGCACCGACACCGTGCAGACGATTGCCAGACAACGCCTCGCCCGACAGAATGCCAAGTCGGCCGGCGGCACCGACTACAGAGGCTCGCCACGGTACTCAAGTCCTTCACGCCGCCGGCAAGATGCTGCCGCGCGATGGCACCCGGTCTGTTCCACAGCACAGAGAATGCCCGACCGCGGACGACGAGTGCACTGAGAAAACAACGTCGACCAAGAGCCAGAACACCACCAAGACCACGCCCAACAGGCCGAGACTATTGGGTGTCATGTGGAGCTTGATCTTGGACTTCGCAGGGACCAAGCACCGGCTCATCATCAGACACGACGACAGAGATGATCCAGAAGCGCAGCTTCAAACGCAACTCCTGACGCGAGCACTGCAAGAAGCTGGCCTCATTCGCCGCTGGAGCGTCACACAGCAATGTCAGCTCAATCGATGCATCCATTGGTTCCATTTGGAAAGCAGCAGATGGGGTCTGTCCTGCACGAACTCGTTGCTAGCCGCTCAGAAAGCCATAGGCAAGCAGCTCCGTGAGATGACATGGCCCAACGAGAGCAACGCCTTTCCGAAGGCACGACAAGCAAATCAGGCCCATGCGATCAGAATACCTGGAAAGCGATGCAGAATTTCAGATCGTGTTGACCGGAGCAGATTTCCACCCCCTGACGTGGAGATGGATCATCCAGAGGGCAATTCCAATTGCCACTCCGTCTCTAGGAATAATCTTTTCACCAGCACCGCGTCTTTGCCTACGACCACGTGAAAGTGACTGCCAGGGCATTCCCAGAAGCATTGGCCCCCCACTTCAGGCACATCCCTCTACTTCTTCAGGTCAGCTTTCCCCGAGGCACTTGCTTCACCACCACCATCGCCCTCCAAAGAGACGTTCGCGGCAGCCTTGCTTTTGCTGTTGTCGTGCTGCCATGCTCCACTAAACCCCTTGCCACCTTCAGACAAGTCGTGTTGCAGAACAAGTCTTTGCTACAAAAGGCTCCCGCCCTTTGCTGACAAAGGCCACAGCCTCACCAGCCATAGTGCAGATACTTGAGCAAAAAACAATCTGTCTCTCTGGTCTGGGGTGTCCTCTTTGGTGTCGACTATGCCAAACCATAGTTTGCGCCTACTCTTTGCATTACGAGCATTACATCGCATCCGGATTGACTCTTTGCCTTGTTTTGTTACGCCGACTGTTGTAGATGCTGCCCTCATGGGTTGGCTATCGTCATTGATAGGACATGCTGGCAAAAATCAAGCTTGCGCCCCATGTTCGTTTCCACATCCGCTGAGCAGTTCTTCTTCTACTTCGGTACAGTAGACTTCTGCTGGTAGACACAAGACTCCGGAAGACATAACTGAAGCTTCAAACCGGCTTGGCGTCGGCAGTTTCTCACCGAACAAGTATAGTACCAAACAATCTCAGCATTAATAATCTCGAGCTTTCTTGGACGCCACGGTTTGGCTTGTGCACTGCCTTCAAAGAGTAAAAAGCTTTGGTGTCCTGCAGATGGATGACAGGCAGCGTCCATATGGACGGCTGTCTGATCCGCCCGGAAACGAAGGCATGCTATGAATATGCAACCAACGCCATGGTGTGGAAGGAATGAACGGGTGACACTGGTGCAGCATCGCTTGCGGAGCTACTGACTTCTTCCTACGCTGCTCCGCGCACAGCTTTGTCTAAGAGCTGCTTCGATTTACATCTCTTGCAGCCTTTTCTTCAGACGCGTGCTGTCCGCGATCATGCCCGGGTTGCTCCTCATGTCCGGCCTCTCTCCGGTGTAGTAGTTCTTGTGCGTCGTCACCTGACGATGCACCACAAAGCTCCAAGGGCCGTTGGGCAAGTTGGGCATAAGTGGTAAGTTGGTGGCGAATCGTCTCTTGTGGACGCAGAACTTGTCTCGGAATTCGATGGTGGACGCATTCCTTGGCACGCATTGTCGGAACAAGCAAGCAGCTTGCAGCAGAGCAAAAGGCTAGCCAAAGCTAGCCAAAGTGTGGAACACTCATATCGGTGTCGACTGAGCATCAGTAAACCCAGAGGGTGAAATCGTCTATCTACATGCCAAAATTGTAGATACAATCCCCCACAGCACTCCCAGAGGTCCTCGAGCTCACATGCCGGGGGACTGCATGTACATCCGCGTCTACTACAACTGCGAGAGCGACACGACCGGCGGAAAGATGGAGACGAGCGCCCTCTTCCCCAGTTGGGGGACGAACTCTGCGAGTGGGGGGAATGCAAGTCAAGCTCCCTGCAACGAGACCCTCGCAACCAAGCTCGGGCTCCAGGGACACAACGCCGACACTGGCGAATACACTGTTGAGAGGCGACAGAAGTGGCGTGCCCTCTTTGCAGCTAATGAGCTTCAACGGAACTGGCGCATCCTCCAAAGCGAGACGTGATCGGGTCCTCAGCTGCTCCTTACCAATCCCTTCCAAGAACACTTTGCCAAAGTCCCGACGCCTAAGCCCGATGCGAATTGGGGTTGTAAGGCATCAGCGGCTTCCTGTCAACTCAAGTCTTGCCGGACCGAGCGCAAGATCTTTTCGAAGCGAAAACAGTTGGGACCTGTCCATGGAAGCATAGCAGTGCGGAATTTCGCGAAATCTGTCCTCCCAGAAACTGAAGTCATCAAGGACACGACCGCTCAGTTTTGCCACACTAAGCCGAAAGATGAGGATGTAATGGGAGTGTCCTGGTACTCAGACACCGCCGTGAAGCGGGTTGCAACATCTGCAAGTCCTCTGGACTTCTTTCCATGCCTGACAACAGCCCTTGGCCATCATGAAGGCCAAGAAAGCAACACAGGCCCTGTCTCTGGAAGCTTGCTCCACCGCTGGCGGTTTTTCCGAGCCACGGAATTGCCATGATGCCACCACAGACCAGCATGAAGCCGGTAGCCGAGCCGACCTCTCGCGCTCTGGCGAATCTAGCGAAGCTTTTCTTATGGACTGCGGCCTGCCTTCGAGTTGTTCAGAAACGCCAAGCTGCCCTCACTCTGACTCTTCTGCATGGCTGCACAACACCTGAGAATTCGGGATTCAAGCAAGTCAGCGTACCAGACTCTACCGTGTGCGTTTACTGCAACATGCCTCCTCTACAGTCAATGTCTAGGCAGCAAGTGGTAGAGTTCGGGATAGTAGGCAAGCGGCCGGCCCCGTGAAGGACGCTATGGACAATGAGTCGCACCCTCTGCACTCGAGCCCATTTGGCAGGACACTACAAGACATGCGTGTCCTTGCACAGCAGGGGGACGGAGAGGGGCATGGCCAACAACGATTCAAAGGAGTAAAAGAAACTTCGGAGCCCCTCTTTCTGACGGGAAGTCGTCTTCATCGGCTACCAAGGACACCCAGAGAGCTCGCACAAGCCATCAGAGCCAAAGCGCGATAAGGCCATCGCGGGGGGGTTCGCGACTTGCAGGCTCCCCCGTTCATTCGCTCACCTGCACTGAGGCGCCTTAGGCAGATCCACACTGCCGCAATGATACAACGAAATGCAAAACGGCATGCACTCACTGGCAAAGGCATGCAAATGCTGATTGAATGATATTGAGTCCTTCGAACCATCACATGTCGCACAACATCTTACTTGCAGCTCAGGCTCTCAAGGCAGTGCACGTAGGCAGCAGTGGTCCGCTGCAACCGAATATCCAAGAGTGAAACGCTGTTCTGCCAGAACATACTCGAACCGGCCTATTTGAGACAAGGGCTGATGATGCCGAGCCCATGCCAAGGCGACTCTGCAATACTGGGGATGAACTTCACTTATGTGATAGAGATTCAATACGTACCAATATGGACCAACTGCATGTGTAGTCATAATATCCATCTATATAAATATATATATATATAGAGAGAGAGAGAGAGTGTGTGTGTGTCGCTGTGAGGGCCCGCTT